TGTGATAACCCGATAGTTAAATGGAAATAAATCAGACTATGTTCTAAAGAAATTGGAAATGTCAAATCATTTGAAGAGAATGTTCTAAAACCTCTTAAGTTAACTTCACATGATCATCAAACTCAGTATATTAAAAAGTTAAAACCCTATTTATAAAAGGGAGTTAAAATGATATATCAAATTCTGGTATATCTACAAAAATGATTACAAAATGTTTTGTCTCAGTAATAATAAGAATTTATATTCATAAAATACCATTTTATTCCTATCATACTAGCAAGGAGTGTTGTGTGTAGGGGGGGTTGTTGTTGTTGTTTTTCTTCTAGTGGAAGAATAGCCAGTATCTGTAAGAGATCATTGAAATAACTGCTGTGGAAGTGTAGTTAATACAGACTTTGTAGAAAATGGTTTATCAATGTATGTTAAGAGCCTTTAAAAATGTGAATGTTTCTTGAATCGGTTGTATGCTTTCTATAAATTTGTACTCTGGTTCTAACCTAAAATTTAGATAATAGAATATAAAGATGTTCATATCTATACTTTTTTTAATAAAGAATTTTTAAATTTTCAATAGGAATTAATTATTGACAATAATTATTGACTATTTTGGCACATTATATTTTTCCTTTTTGAAAATTTAATGTTTTAATCAAAAATACTTAAAATATGTAGTAAACTCATAATTTGTTATGATCTGATTCATAAGATACCAGGTTCTATGACTTACTTTATTTTTCTGCCAGCTTCTTCCCTGTCCCTGTCTTCTTTTGGTCTTTTTAATATATTTTCACTTTCTTTTTTTGTCTGTTTGCTAGATTTCGTTCTGACTTCAGTGGTTTCATGTTTTTTTAAACATACTATTTTTAATTTTAAAATGTTCTTCAGATTTTGTCTACATTTAGAACTTCCTTTCCTTTTTTTTCCTGTTTGTATATGTGATACAGTTAAAGTAATATTTCTTTGTTGTTTTTGTCCTGGAATAATGAATGACAGAATGCTAGGAATTATGTTATCTCCATACCTTTATATTGTACAATGAATTTTTTTAAATATTTCAAAACTTGGTTTTTTAATTGCTTTGATGGTCCAGAAATTTTTACTTAACAAAATTTTGTTGTATTTTGAAGTCATTTCTTGACCAAAATGATTTCAATGTTTCTTAAATAGTTTTTGTAATTGAAAGTACATTTATTGGAGGGAGTAATTGTGAGAGGTGGTCACTATTGGGAAGCACAAGTTGGATAGAATAATTAATACTTCTGTGCTGTTATGAATTGCTGGCAGGAGCCAGATTTGCCTGTTGTTTTTAAATACGCATTTTTTTAAACAAAAATTTTTAGACTTTTTGGTTATGGATTTCATAGTTTTATCTAGTAATTGTGGAAATAATTTTTAAAATAGTTTCTAATCTGTTGATTTCTTTGACATTCTATATATTAAACAGGACAGAGGGGCTTTTTGTTGGATCAGGGAAATAACTTGAAGCACATTACTAGTTCTAGTTGCTTCCTGGTTTTTATTGTTGTTTGACTGCAGTATATGTTGTAGACTAAGAAATGAGGAAGAGTACAATTGTTATGATGATTTTAGACTGAGAACATGGTAATCTATTTAATTGGTTTCAGCATTCTACTGATTGTGTGACATTTGTTGTTTTTCTACCATTTCCTACTCCAAGAACATACACAAGTTCTTATTTTACCTGGAATTTGTGATGATAAACTTCTTTCTTTAGCTTCTTAGGCAAAAATTAATATAAATTTAGGGTACTATTCAAAAAACTCCCCAAAGGCTGAGTGCCCCTGACTGCTGTTAAAGAGAGTCCTGCATTGAGAGGAAGACTAAATTGTTAGTAGCTGCTGCTGCCATTTATTGAGCACTTACGTATGCAATATCTTATCATTTAATCTTCACTTCAACTTTATGAGGTAGGTAGTGTTATTTCAATCTTACAGGAATGAGACGGAGGCTCGGTTCTCCCATAGGTAAGTTGCAGAATCAGGATTCACACCCAGATTTGTTTCTGACTTCAAAGCTGAGCTCTTTCTACTTATGTGGCATTCCTTACTGTAATGTGTCTCTTGATCTGAAGTTCTATATTTTTTTAAGAAAAATACCTTTGTATTACTAACTTTAGCATTTTAAAATTTATAATTTTCTGTATTCTGTTAATTGTAGTTATTGCTCTGCCAGGGTATATTTCTTATATATTTTCTTTGTCTTCATAAATAACATTTCTATCCTATTTATATTCTTTCATTGTTTTAAATCTGTTTTTAGTACTGATCTATTTCATAAAGTTTAAAAATACATACCATCAGGGATTGATTTATAAGAAATTATATATTTGCATTTTTGACTCATTTTGAGGCAGTCATTTTAACATTTACTTGTGTAGCTGATCAGTGCTTATTTTACATGGATGTTTTGAAAATGTAATGAACTACTTTTATATTCCTAAAAGCAGAGTTTTCTAATCTTCATGTACTCAAACATAGAGAAAATTATAATATTTAATATATTACTCTGGTAAATGGATCATCCTACTGCTCTTGGTCTCAAGTACTTGGTCCAGCGAGCCATGCCCCATCTTCCTTCTTATGGTGCTTCCCTACCTTATTTAGCCTCCCAGTGCTGAGAAGGCTGATATCTTGGCACAGATATAACTCATTTGTGGATATATAACCTTTGTGAGAGAGTAGACTAAAGGTCTGTTCTTAGGAGTTAGATATTCAGTAAACATATAAATTTCTGAGAAAAGTAAAATTTTAAGTAGTCCATTCTAAAATGTTTACATTATGGATCATTCTAAGTCATGCATTCATGTTGGCAACACCTTATAGTTGAAGCCTTTGGAAACAGCTGTACTCTTTTACTTTCATTTATAGCTTATAATGATAGCAGAAAATCATGACTCTTTAGCATTTTATATAAACCTTTTACCTTCTGTCACCAAGTAAAGCTTCATTATATATTATACATTTTATTTGATATTGTTATTGCAACATGGAAATTAATCTTTAATGTGCTTAAAATATTTCTAGTTATGTGATAATAGTTATAACAATTTTATCTAACAAAAGGACTTGATCAGGCAAAAAAGAATGCATATTTTTTGTTTGTTTAGGTTGCATCCCCTCTGGATTTGAGACATTATATTTATAAGGTTTGATGCTTTTTTTAGGAAATATGTTGCTGTATTTAAATACTGCCGTTTTAGAGTAGTATGTTACTCAGCTCTACCTCAGAAGAGTCTGATGTGTATCATTAATTTAAAACCACGGTCGTTTAAAAATTATTGAATTTTAGAATAAACTAACTCAGAATTTTGACATGAAAATAGCATGAACTATGTATTGTATAACCTCTGTTGGTTAACTATTTCTCCTCCTGATTTTCCTAATGTGGTCAGTGTTAGCACAGTTCTTCACTGAAAACCAGAGTGACTTCTGATAGTTCCTTGTCCGGTGATTCTTCCCTTACCTCCTTTTCCCTATGCCTCAACCATTTCAGTAGAATATCAGATACTGTTGCTTCTACCACCAGATGCCTCTCCTTTGTAGTCCCACTTTGTTCTAGTTTAGTATGTTACCATTTTCATTCATTTTTGCTATTGGAATTGTCTTCCTTAAACATGGTTTGATTATGTCTATTCCTTAATATTATTTTTTCTCTTCACTGCCATAGTTGGTATCCATTTTTGTATGACATTTAAGAGGACTTTTGGCCCCAACATACTCTTATTTCCTATTCTTTGATGCTTCAATGTGCATAGGGATGACCCTGTCTCTTTTCCTTAATTAACCTATTATCCAGTCACCAGTGTTTCTTATTTTTGTATTCTAATCACATCACTAATTTTTGTCAGACTTACCCTCACTGTGTTTTCTCAGCCAGGAAGACCAGTTATCTATATTGACATGAGATGTTACCATTCTACAAAGTATTTCTATTACTTCACCCTTGTTTAGAATTATTTTCTTATAGTAATTCTCTTTACTTTCTTTAGAGCATTTACCACACTGTGCCTTCGAACATAATTAGTTGTATAATTCATTCTCTTCTTTCACTAGATTATTATCCACTTGGTGATATGGTCCATGTTTTTCTTATTTATTACAGTATTTTGATGGTTGCATAAGATAAGACAGGAAATACACAAACATGCACTTACCTGTACACATTTTCATTTACTCAGTTTAAGTATTTACTTTGTGTATAGCACTGCCACATACAGTGGTGATCTATGAGGAAATAAAAAAAGAGTAAAACATGTTCCATGAATATAATATGCCTTGAAAGAATTTATATTCTAAGGGGGAAAAAAAAGATGTTGATGCAGTAAACTGAAAGGCCTTGTACTTAAGTGCCATGAAATTCACATCACTCAGAAAAATAGTATACATTGTATACCATGTCAGAATATTTTTGTAAGTATTTTGACTTGCTCTTTGCTATTCTCATCTCCACTTATATGATTGTGTGTATATTTGTCAGATTTTTTTCTACCCATTTTGATACACATCATTTATGTGTATATGAAAGTCAGAAACCAGTCTTAGAAAATAAAGTTTTCTATTTAGGTAATTTTATTTTCAACTTTAATAAACTGAATTTAGAATTTAGCTTAATGTATTATTTAAGAATAAAGTAATTTCATTTATAAATTTAGAAGCTGACTTTTTGAGACACTGTCTTCATGTTTTTCTTTGCCTAGTTTGTTTTGTTTTAAAGTGAAATAATGATTCTCCTGCAGTTTCATTTAGAGTAACTTGAAAAAAGAAAACCTTTGTAGCAATAACTCATTTTATTTGCACAGTTTGATTTTATCTAATTGTGATAGTCTGTTAAGGAACATGGAATTTATTATATAATGTTTGTTTTATATTTTTCTGAAGAAATGTGGGTTTGACTCACATATTGATGTACAGATATGTAACATGTAAACGCAATGTTCTGTGTACTTTCTTTATGCTCTAATATAATTAATTTGTTTCTAGATGCTGGCATCACCATCTACATCAGGTCAGCTGTCTCAGTTTGGGGCAAGTTTATACGGGCAACAAAGTAAGAATTTTGTATTTATTCTGGAATACTTTATTTAAAGAAAAAAATAACTATCAAATAACAACCAACCAGTGCCCTTATCGGTTTGTTCTAGGGTTTAAAAGGAAAGATAATTAATTTTCAGTTTATCTTATTTCACTTAAATAGCAAAACCTCATTATTTCAGACCTTTCTAATTTAAAATTTGTTATTTGGATTAGGATAGATTAATCTTTTGTATCTGTATGTTCCTTTGCAATATTTTGAAGAATTTGCTAAACATTAAAAATAGACATCATCTCAGTTTTCAATTAGAGGAAGTTAAAGGAGTTTTTTTTGTTGTTTTTTGTTTGTTTGTTTTTGGGTTTTGGGTTTTTTTTTTTTTTTTTTTTTTGGTCAGTTGACAAGGTCGTTTTGTTTGTGTTTTTTGGCCTTTTAATGTAAGCCTATTACTTAGCAGTTTGTCAAATGTTCTCTTTGTTTAGCAAATATTTCTTTTACTTTAGTTCAGTCTGGGTATAGAATCTATGACTGAGTTTAATGTTTTTTCCATATGTAAGATTTTATTTTTAAGTATTGTAATTTTATAGCGCTTAGCACAGTGCCTGGCGCATAGTAAGCGCTCAATAAATGTTAGCTGCTATTATCACATAAATTTTTTATAAAACTAAATTATAAAATCTTCCTATTTTTTCAGATTTTTTCAAACCGTTATATATTAATAATATTTTATCATCTCTGTTAATGTCAGAGACTGCTGATCCCTTATCTCTGTTAATGGAAGGGGAGTGTTTAAAGCTTATAAACTCCCAGCATAGATTACAGAATAATAAGGTAACTAGACAAGACAATCTAATGACTGAGTATCTTAACTAGCTTCAAATAAAAATCAGTTATTTCATCTGAAACTC